CTCTTCGAAAAAAGTACTAACGTGGTAATTACAAAATTACTTGAAAAAGTAACTGATTACAAGTAATCCGTTACTTGTAACGGATTACTTCTCAAGTCTGGTGTCAGGTTTCGTTCACGAGTGCCTCGCGCGCCTGGGGACCCTACGCCCCCGCAAGACAGCGGGCGTCCCTGCCCAGCGTTGGAGCGACCTCTACCACGTAATCTCCCCCGGCCGCACCGGCTAGTTTATATAATCTTAATAAAGTTGACTTCTTACGTTTCAAGGACACAGAAAACTGGTGACGAGGCAGGGGCGGATCCAGAACTCCGTTTTTTTTTTTTTTTTTTTGGGGGGGGGGGATTTGTAAGGATACTATTCTCCCATTCTTTCTTGTATACCGGCGGGTCCACCCATGTCAAATTGCCCTCCGAGAAGGGGGGAGAGGAGGGGGGCGGCCGCCCCCGTCGCCCCCCCCCCCCCTCCCTTGGATCCGCCCCTGTGACGAGGATAGGATCCCCGGACTTGCCTTCCACATATGTACAGCATCAGAGCAGGTCCCGTTTTTCGCGTGAAGTCCTGCGCTGCGCTCCGAAACCAGAACTCTTGAGCGAGGCCGCCCTCCACTGTATTCACCCACTCTGGACCCGTCATGTCTTCCTCAGATGAAGATACCCCAGCTGTTGTGATGGCTCCTTCGGCCCCATACCTCGCCCTGGCTGAATTTTCACCGAAGCAGCCGGCCGCTTGGCCCGTGTACCGGCAACGACTTGAATTTTACTTTCAACCTCAGATCATCTAAACCAATGACAAGCAGAAAGCCACCCTATGCGGTGCGTGCGGAGTGGGCACCTACACGCTCCTTTGCTCCCTGTGTGCCCCCAAGACGCCGATGCAGACACCATGCGCTGACATCATGGCTAAACTGAATACACACCTCGTCAGCAAGCCCTCTGTAACCTTGCAAAACTTTCGATTCAACAAACGGGATCAGCTCCAAAAGGAGACAGTGCCGGTCTACATCGGTGCACTTCGGCGTCTCGCTCGTCGTTGCGAGTTTGAGGACTGGCTTGATCGTCTGCTGTGCGACCGGCTGGTACGCGGCTTGCGCGCGACGAGACCCTTCAGCGCCGACTGTTGGCTGAGCCAGAGCTCACACTGAGCAAGGCCATCCAGATGGCTCGGGCTACTGAGGAAGCAGCCGTCAAGACAGAATTTTGTCGCACCAGGTGAGAGGCTCGCGAAGGGCAAAACCGAGTGGCACAGACGCCGCAGAGGCCCCCCAGTGGTAGCGCTTCCACCAACAGTCGATCTTCTTATGTTCAGTGCTGGACATGATCGGGCTCACACGACGCCGCAAGTTGTTCTTACGCCAGTGCCGTGTGCCTTTTCTGCGGCAACAAAGGACACCTTCAGAAGGCCTGCCGTAAAAAAGCGGCAAAAGAAAAGAAGAAACCGAGCAAGGCTTCTGAGTGATGATCTGACTCCGAACGGCAGACCAGAGGCACCACGTTACGCCGTCCATTTGCCATACGGGTCAACCTGTGGAGGTGGTTACTGTTCTTCTGTCACTGTCAACAGTCAGCTCCGTCACTCCGGCTGTCTTCGCAGACGTTGCGATTAATGGACATGCCCTTTCCATGGAAGTGGACTCTGGTTCCGCCTGCACCGTGATCAGCTCAGAGACTTTCCGAGTTCTGAACCTCACGACCACTAATCTTCGACCCCCTCAACTCCAGCTATAATCTTACACCCACGAGCGGCTCAATATAATGGGTACACTGGAGATTGACGTCACTTACAACACCCGAGAGGGTACACCTTCCTCTTCTGGTAGTGAAAGGAACCGGCCCCAGCCTGCTCGGTCGAATCTGGTTTCCTGCGTGGGGAATCGGCCCCAGTGGCGTGAAACAGCTCTCCGAAGAACGAACCCTGTGGCAGCAACCGGTCAGCGTTGTGGTAGCCGAATTTCTTGAGGTCTTCAAGGAAGGACTAGGAAAAAGCAAAGGACTACCTAGTTCGCATCGAGAACACCCTTGCGGCTACACACTGGTTCCTCAAGGCGCGCCAGGTACCTGTTGTTCTACGCCCTCGCGTCGAAGCCGCCATCGATATTCTCCTCGAGCAAAGCGTCTACCAGCCAGTGCGAAATTCACGATGGTCAACCCCGGTCATCCCAGCCGAGAAGAAAAATCGCAAGATTCGACTGTGCGGCGACTACAAGTGCACCATCAACCCAGCGCTCTAATGAAAGACATACCCCTTGCCTACTACGGAGCAGCTCTTCGCCAACCTCGCAGGTTGCAAGGAGTTTTCGCGCCTTGACCTAGATCAAGCATACCAGCAGCTGACTGTGGACGACGAGACCGCCGACTTGCTGAGGGTCAACACGCATCACGGACCGTTTCGAGTCACGCACCTTTCATTCGGTGTCGCTCCAGCCGTTGCCATCTTCCAGCGATACATAGAGGAACTGCTCGCCGGACTCCCAATGGTGCGCGTCTACGTGGACAATATCATCGTCGGAGGCAGAACCAAAGTAAAGCACCACCGCAACCTCCGAGCAATTTTGAACAGAATCCAAGAAGATGGAGTGCGCTTGAGCAAAGACAAGGGCGCCTTCGGAGTGCCTGAAGTCGTCTTCTTGGGCTATCGCATCGACAGCCAAGGCATTTACCAGGCTGAAGGAAAGGTCAAGGCTCTGAAAGAAGCTCTAGAACCCAAGTACAAGCAGCAGCTTCAGTCCTTCCTCGGGTTGTTGAACTTTTACAACCGTTTCCTGCGCAGAGCAGCGCACACGCTCGAACCCCTGCACCGTCTCCTCGGCAAATACTTGCCATGGAGATGGGGACCTGATGAAGACCAGGCATTTAAAAAGCAAAAAAGCTTCTGGAATCGTCAGCGGTGTTGAGGCATCATGATGCCACAAGCCCCTCGTTCTTGCATGCGACGCGTCACCGTACGGGTTTGTTTTTGTGCTGAGTCATGAACATCAGCCTGGCCTGGAAGCTCCAGTCACATACGGATCCAGAACGATGACTCTGACCGAGCGGAACTACTCTCAAACAGACTGAGAGGCGTCAAGAAGTTTCACCATACCTGTATGGGAGATACTTCAAGTTCTACAGAGATCACAAACCCCTGCTTGGGCTCCTGCACCACAGCAACCTCATCCTAGCGGTTCTATCGCCATGCCTGCTCAGATAGAATCTGCTCCTGCGTACTGAGCTGGTCTACCGTCCAGGTCGACAGATGGGCAATGCCGACTCCTTCAGTTGGTTGCCACTGCCAACAAAGAACTTCCAGCCCCCACCCCTGGAGGACGTTCTCCTGCTCGAGGCTTCTTTGGAGGTGCCAGTGAACGCAGAGCGAATTGCTCGACTAACAAAACAGAACCCGAAGCTTTCCCGCGTCCTCCGGTAGATCAAGCATGGATGGCCTGACGAGATGGCCATCAGAAGAGTTCCAAACGTGGTATGTGCGTCGCGACGAACTCTCCGCATACCGCGACTGCATACTTTGCGGCGGCCGCGTAGTGTCACCTAGCCTCCGCCCGAGATCCTTTAGATTCTTCACTCTGCGCCTCCCGGCATGGTGCCCATGAAGGGGCTCGCCAGAGGCTACGCCTGGTGGCCACGCCTGGACAAGGACATTGAAGAGCATGTCCGCACCTGCGCGTCTTGCCAAGTCACAAGGGACTCGCCTCCACAAGCTTCAATACATCTCTGGAAATGCAGCTCCAGGCCATGGTCCCGACTGCACGTGGACTTTGCAGGCCGCTTCCCAGGAAATACCTTTTTGGTCGTGGACTCGTATTCTAAGTGGTCAGAGGTACGAATTACGAAGTCCACGGCAGCAACGACTGTCATCCGCGAACTGTGAAGTATGTTAGTCATCCATGTACTGCCCGATATGGTTGTCTCGGACAACGGCCCTGCCCTCGCGTCAGTGGAGATCCGCACGTTTCTCGCCCGCAACATCATCCGACAAGCATTGGTGTCTCCCTACAATTCATTATCGAATGGTCAAGCGGAAATGTTCATCCAAAACACCAAGAAAGCGTTGAGACGCTTGAGAGGCCAGACATCGATGTGTGCCTCACACGTTTCCTGTTTGAGCTGCATATCCTGCCAAGCACATCGACGGGAAGAAGCCCGGCATGCAGAGTTGGTGATGTCGCGCCAACTCAGGTCGGCTTTGGATAGCATCAACCCAGACCATCAGCGCTAAGTTGAGCTGTGCCAAGAAAAGCACGCGCAGAGCAGCAGAACAACGAGAGAATTCTGCCCCGGCGACAGCGTGTTCGCTCGCAGCTTTGCGTTGGGACATCCACGTTGGATTTCCGCCGTCGTCTACTCTCGCAGTGGACTGGTCTCATATCAGGTGAAGCTGCAAGACGGCACGTTTTGGAAACGGCACGTTGACCATATTCGTCGACGAACGTCGGACATGCCGGACATTCCTAATACAAGTGATCGCGCTCCGGATTCTGGTGGCGCGGACCTTGTTCCCCAAGAGACTTGTGACGGCGCCGGGTCTGCTGCAAAGCGCAACGTACCGGGAACGTCTAGGATGAAACTGAGGAAATACCTGTGGAAGCCAGAGTGACTCCGGCCGCTGCTCCTGGGTTCTCATCCCCGGTCCTCCCCGAGGAGTCGCGTATATTGGGGTTCCCCCGAGTTTCGCCAGATGGGACCACGCGTCCGGAGAGCAACGAACCGGGCGCGTGTCAGGTTTCGTTCGCGAGTGCCTCGCGCGCCTGCGGATCCTACGCCCTCGCGAGACCGCGCGCGTCCCTGCCGAGCGTTGCAGCGACCACCACCGTGTAATCTCCGCCGGCCTCACCGGCTGGTTTATATACTCTTAATAGAGTTGAGTTCTCACGTGTCAAGAACACAACAATTTCCACTTACCAAAAAGAGGGGGTACCGCGCGAGACACAAAAATAAAACCAGGAAACGAGAATATTCGGGCACGGCAGTGGGTGTGCGTGGAAGTGCGCAAAGGAGAGCGGGCCCCACCTTCTCGAGGGCCTCCTGCAGGGCCAGCCCAACGGGCTGCATGTAGCGGCTGTGGAAGGCCACGCCTAGGCTGTTCACCTCCCGGGCAAATACATTCTCTCCCTTGAGCTGTGCCACCAGCTCCGCCACCGCTTCAGCTGGGCCGGACACCGTCACCGAGTCCTCTGCGTTGTGGCAGGCCGGGGTCACTCCGTTGCGGCAACGCTGCTTCGCCTGCTCCCAGGTCAGGCCTGGGGGAGGCCGGACAGAGGTACCGCCGGTTAAGGCAAGAGGTCGCTGGCCGTGTCCAGTACGGCTCCGTAGAGGTCACGATCATTGGTTGGATGAGGACATACAATGCTTATTGACAAAGCAACCTGAACATCACTACTTCCGTTTGCAAAGCACAACAACGTCAGCACGGCAGTCGGTAGTCTGGGCTATAGCGCGAAATAGCGAAACGCCAATTGACCACGAAGTCAATACCAGTGTTAGGGCAGCTCACTTCTAACAGCTACTACCACTTGAATTGCTCGCACAATATCGCCTTTTTTCAGAAACGTTGCCTTGCAGGAGTGCAGTGCCATTTTATAGTGATTTTCATTGAAAACCTTTTACAGCATGCAGGTTTTCACTAACATGACGGTGCTCTCAGGTCCCGTTGACAAAACAGCTCTGGAGTAATTTCCTATTGCCTTTACCGACCATCGCCGCCGGTCTGCTGTAGTTCAACGTTAATGACTTGATGGCATCAGAAGGGCTCCATTCTCAGGTGATTTATTGGGTTCTTAAGAGTGGCTCGAGCAGGGCTTAGAATCTCCCTCCAGTCTTGGGGGGGGGGGGGGGGGGTTTCTCCCAGCTCGAGCACAGGCAGAGGGCTCCGGAAAAAGAAGAAGGGGGCTCTATTTGTGCTTCTGCAAAAACATTAAACCGACACTCTACAGCTTCGTCTATGGCTATGTGTTCTTGCAATTTAGCCAGGACTTGTCATCTCTGTTCCCCAAGCACAGGACTAAGACAGAGGGACCTTAGTAGAACGGGAGAGGGGGGGGGGGGGGGTTAAAGACTCCCCGCCAAAATTGGAGGGGGTTCCGGACCCCCTGAGACCCCCAGACTTTACGCACGGGGCTCAAGTGAATCTCTCACTGGAATGGCCTTTGGAGAAATAACCTTTTTTTTCCAGAAAATATAGGTTCAAAGCTTCTGCCTTGTTCTGGTCGTGCACGTTTTCAACAAGTTCCGGTAATGATTTGATTAAAGTATTTGGCGAAGGATTACAATTGAAGCCACTGAAACGAGAAACATGTCGTGAAATACACAAATAAATGCAATCAACTAGCACCATTCTAAGCACTGCTCAATCTGCAGCTTCTCACTCCTAGTAACAAATGTGAAAATAGTGAAATGCATTTTTCGAATTAGCGAAAAAAATTGGGTTCAGCTCGCTTTTTATACAGCGTATTTGGCGTGAAAATATCGGGAATTATCGGGCTTTACCCGAAAACGAAGGTTCCTAAATGCACAGAACATTGTCGGGGACGAACTGGACAAATATGTGCATTTCTGTCTCGTATAGATGGACCACTCTCATTATGACTACTTTTTTCAGAGAACGGAGGCGTCCATAGTAACTACTAACGAGCAGTACTGCGCGAATATTCAAAATTTATTATAGTAGTTTTAAATATTACACTATTCGATATTCGCTTCGATATGAACTGTGATATTCATACTTTTCAAAGTGTTGATCGCATCGAGTTTGACTCCGTTGAGTGCGCTTGACACCGAGCACACGTGCGCGGCGGGGAAGCCCTCAACGCACCCAACGTGGCTATCCCGACGCGATTATGCGAGAGTATAATTTAGGCAGCGATTTCTTGACAGCCTACGCTCCTCATTCATGCTTCTTTTGTTGTTTAATTGTGAAATTTCATATTGAAGAAAGAATATTTGCACGCAGCAAGGAGGTTTATAAACCCCCTCGATTAGAAGAGCTGCAACAATTGCGTTGTTTACATCTGTCACATTTCGTAAATATAGCTATATAGCTGTAACTAAGCTTAGTAGTAGACAAGTGGACGGTTGGAAACAACCCTCACGGGTTCAGCCGAATTTTCGTTTAGGCCTTGTGCAGGGAGATAGAGGCTCGGAGAAACCATTCGACATTCAACTAGATAAAATTCGGCCGAAACCGTTTTTTGCTTCGAATTCGTTTCGAACTCAAAATTCACTATTTTCGCTTTACTAACGAGACATCCATGTATTTAAACTTAAGGCAGTTGCCATCACCCTCGACAATGCACAGAAGCCCCATGTCAAGATGGGACAAACTGGAGACAACGACCCAAGCAGACAAGACTGACCGACGGCTGCCATGGCCCCCTTGGGCAGGTTGCCCAGCTCGGCGCAGCGTCCCCTCCAGTAGGCACACATCACTGTCTGCTCGGCCGTCAAGGCCCCGTCGGCAAAGCCACAGCCGATCTCGCCCAACGAGTGACCCACAATGCCGTCCGGCTCCACCCCCGCCGTCTTCAGCATGGACACCAGCGCCACCTGCGGGAAAGCGCAACGTTCGCCGTCCTTCCACCTACGCCCGAAAAAACGAAAACAGACGCGTGCGGCTCACAGAGGTAATATATAATTATCTAGAGGGAGAGGTCCCACGTATTTCTGTGTCTTCGAGACGGAGGGGCACAGACGCGGACGTCGGTGGTCGCACTGGGCCCATATCGCTGGCGACGCTTTGGTGTACACAAAGCGGCGGCAAAACGCCACTTGCAAGGTCTTTACTTAGTGTTCTACCTTTATTTACCACGATAACACTGGCATCGTGTATTGTATAAAAATGAATAGCAATGACAAGCACTCTAACAACTCGTTGCAGTCAAAACGAACACGCCTAACTTATGGTGTTCTTTCTTAACATCTACGCAACTCTCTTTCTCTTGAGACCACATATGTCGGCGCTTACGATTTGCCATGTTCTGCCCCTGTCTTTACCTCCCTGGTGCAGCTGTACTCCGGCCAGGGGTAAATTTATGGGTCGGGTTTGGGAGGCATCTTGAAGTCGTGGACGGATGTGACGTTACGTGCAAGGCGTGGCCGAGGTCTATTTGGTTCACCTAATATTCACCATTTTAAGAAAAACGAAACATTTCTTCTATAAAAGTTCGTGTATGTTTTTTTTATAAAAGAAGTCGGCCCTAGAGACAAGGGGGGGGGGGGGGGTTACAATATTTTTTTTTGGAGATGATGAAGTTTCAAATCTGATCTGGAAGCAAGACTTAAAAGGTGATGTTAGATGTTGTAAAATGGGGCAATACACGTTCCAGTAGAGCAATTGTTCCTAACATGTTACAACGAGTTTGGTGATGTGAAACGAATGCGGCTTATAACCTCATGTCAGAAAAACAAATAAACATGCGTTAAGCAAGTAGGCAGGCGAGCTTGTTAAGGATAGACATAGTAAGCCTGGAACTAGAAGACAAAAAGGGACGGAAAGACACGAAACTCCAAAGTTTTCGGAGTTTCATGTCTGTCCGTCACTTTCTGTCCCCTAGCTGCACGGTTACTATGTCAAACATGCGTAAGACACTGAAACATGTGATGGACTCGTTCGATTTACCTGAAGCAGCCTACACCGGTGGAAAAAAGTTTAAATTGAAAATCGAACAAAACCGACGTCAGCCGACTGGAGAATGGGACAAAAAGTTGAATGTTGAATTTAACATCACGTTCATTTGCCATATTCCTAATTGCTATTCTGAATTTACAGATAATAAATAGCATACCGGAAAGGGTAAAACTTGGGTTCTCCGAAAGTGTGCTTAATTTTTGTCGCTATAAAAAAAAAAAAAAAAAAAAAAAAACCGCCCGAGCTCTTTTTTTAAATATGGACTTTCTACGTCGTCTCACCTGCACGGCGGCGATGGAGACATAGGGAGACACCATCGTGTGGTTGTTGGCGTTGTCACTGGTGATCAGGCCTACGAGGTCGATGCCGAGGGGCACCAGGAGCTCGTGGGAGCGCCGGATGGAGTTCGCAAACACGTCGAACTGCATCATCTGGCGGGCCATGCCACTCCACTGGCAGCCCATCCCAGTGAAGACAAACCACAGCTCCCGCTTCTCGGACGGGGCACGCTGTACCGTGCAAGAAAGGGGCAACGGTCAGGACGCACACGCAGCTCGGTTATGGTAGCGGACAAAAAAGAGATGACTGACGACCACACAATGTGTGCTGCGATTGACAGGGGTAGCTGACGCGTTGTGGAAAGGAACGTCTTCAGCTAGTTTGAAGTTTGATGTCTTCCTTGGGTTCTTTGCTTTCAGTGGAAGTGATGTAGGAGACGTGTGAGGAGATTTGTACTTTAATGGAAAGATTGCGCGAAGATGTTGGACCTGTAAGAGGACACAGAGACGTGCTTTTCTTTTTTTTTTTTTGGGAGGGGGGGGTGCTGAAACGTTCTTTCAAAACGGGGGCGCCCGTGACTGCACTTGCGGTGGAAGAAGCAAAAGTATGTGTTAAGGAACAAGGGATTTTGTTTGTAATAAGTAAGATTTGTTCATAGGAAATCTGATATGCCTGTTTGTCTTGACATTTTGGGAGGGAGTGTTGGATCGCAGACCTGCGGCGGCAGAGCATAAACAGGGAGTCGTCTTCCACCTCCACGCGCGGAGAGCTTCGGGCAGCCGCGGGGCGCGCTGGTGACGAGTCGAACCCCGGACGTTAACAAACGCATTGATTGTCGGTTTCGGGCGCCAGGAGCCCTTGTCTTGGGCAGCGGTACATCCGTCTGCATTTGTGGCCTTTAAGGCCATGTTGTTGTTGTTGTTGAGTGTTGTTACACACGGGAAGAGGGGGGGTGCCTGCACGTAATGTTAGCCTCCTTGGGCAGGGGCAAGACTCGCACAGGCGGGGAAAGAGGGTGAGAAAAGAAGAGAAGAGGGGTTGGGGGGTGATTTGGTCACCAATCTCTGGATGAGTAGGGTCGAATCAGGAGGCTATTTTCTTGAGGGAGAGGGGACACTGCAGAACTGTCTTCTGGAATGGAGATCACAAATTAGTCTATGACAGTTGAGACGAGAAGGCGTGGCTGGTCTAGGTGGCGGGCCGGTGGGCTAGAGGCGCGTTGCAAGTCCAGTGGCTTTGAGGTACTCAAGAAGAGATTTATAAACAAGTTCTCTTCTTCGTCGACCTCCGGTAGGAAAAAGGATTTCGTTTTTTTGAGTCACAGTTGTGCTGCCACTTAGGATGGTGGTAAAAAAGGACCGTCGAGCTTGATCGTAGTTAGAACAATTTAGGAGGACGTGGTCAAGGTCCTCTGGGACATTGCATTTGGCACAGTTGGGTGTACTAGACCTGGAGATCTTGTGAAGTGTCGTTGATGTGTAGGCGCAGTTTGCACGAAGGCGATGGAGCAGCGTGGAATCTGATCTGGTTAGTTTTGACTCGGGGAGCGATGGAGGAGGATTCCCGCTTGCAACTTCTGTATGGGGGTGACGCATTGTGGTAATTAATTTGCACAGTCTGCGCGCTTCGCAATAACGTGGGATGAAAAGACTGGGCTCTTGTTCCTTGTGTGCATTTGAAGCAAGGGCATCGGCGCGTTCGTTGCCGGGGATACCCATATGTGACGGAATCCATTGAAAAGCCAACTGCCACCCTCGCATGCAAAGTTTTCGGGCCTTGTCGGCCACACATTGGGCCAGAAAAGGAGCTTGGTCTGAAGCTTCCAAATTGGATAACGCACTTCGAGAGTCGGAGAGAATAACAGTCTTGCAAGGATTGAGGTTGTGAAGCGCATCTAATGCCGCTGCTAGTGCAGCCAGCTCCGCTGTCGTGGACGTGGTTGCGAAGTTGAGGCGGTGTGATGCTTCGATTCCGGCATCGGGAATGACGAATGCCGCTGTAGATGTTGCAGTTGTGGGATTCGTTGACCCGTCAGTAAACACTTGGAGCCAACCATTGTACGTGCTTGTCAGTTGGTCAGCTACAAGCGACCTTCCAACAGTGGCTGAGATAGAATTCTTCTTCGGGAAATAAGGAAGCGTTTCTTCTACAATGTACGGCGGTTGGGTTATGAAACGTGCCGGAGGAAAGTAATGGCTATTAGGTCCAATTTGTAAATTAAATTCTTGTACAGATCGACCTATCTGCGAATCAAACCGCTCTTCAATGTTGGACAGCAGTGATGTCGCAGATCGTGCTCCATACATACGAGTGATATGATTCATTGCTCTTATTCTTATATGCATAGCTACTGTTTGATCCTTGGCCTCTACGAGTGTCGCCGTATTGCCCGCGAAGCGTGGCAGTCCAAGGCACTGACGGAGGGCAACACGGTGAAAACGTTCGAGTGTGGTCATTTGATGAGCCCTGATTCTGATGAGAGGTAGGCTGTATAACATTCTTGAGAGGATAAGGCCACGATAGAGAATCAGAAGTCCCTGAAAAGGCAGTCCAGATTTCTGGCGATGGAAGTGACGGAGCACAGTTAATAATTTAGTGCACTGCGTTACAAGTCGTTTTATCTCGGGTCTCCATGTAACGTGGTCATCTATTTCCATCCCCAAGTTGAGACTCTCTGGATCGGTATTCCTTTAATGGTTGGCGTATTTGCAACTTTGCGGTTTGGATGTCGACCAGGGCGGTAACAGAGGAAGGCTGTTTTGCTTGTAGATAAAGTAAGTCCTAGTTTTTCTAGAGTAGAAGTCGTGCTGTCAAGAACTTTCTGAAGCCTTTTGCCGATGGTCCTTGACAGTCTGGATGGACCGACACACCAAATTGCCACATCATCGGCGTATATCGTCATGTGAACTGTTGTACTGGACGTTTCTGCGGAGTTTATGCATAGCGGAAGTTCTGCCATGGTAAGGTTAAACAGAAACGGGCTCAGAACACTTCCTTGGGGAACGCCTTGTGTCACCGACCGACGAGTGCTAAGACATTCGGCAACTCTTACTGTTAGGCTGCGGCCAGTGAGGAACGCGGCCGATATAGTCATATGTTCTTCCACCAATTCCGTACCGTGTAAGTTGACGCAGAATAGTATGGTGCGGCAGGGCATCGAAAGCTTTGCATATGTCCAAAAATATGCAGTAGACTGTTTGGTGAGTTGAACGTGCATCTTCAAGGCTCGAAACGAGATCAGCAATGGCGTCAAAGGTGCACCTCCTTCGTCGGAATCCGCAGAGTTGATCTGGCAGTGCTCCTTTGGATTCAAGCAGCCACGTAAGTTTTGAAAGTACTAGTCTTTCCATTAATTTCCCGACACAACTGGTAAGAGAAATTGGCCGGTAGGATTCAATCCGATCACCGGGTTTTCCTTGCTTTCTGATAGGAACCACTACAGAGTTGAGCCATGCTGCAGGGATTTTTGCCGTTCTCCATATGTTGTTGATAGACTCCAGTAAGGCCTCTCTATGCGGGAAAGAAAGATTTCTCAGTGCTTGAAACGTTACGCCGTCCGGTCCCGGAGCGGTTCGACGGCGCGAGCGTCGGAGGGCAACATCAAGTTCAGTGATGGTGAAGTCAGCGTCCATTTCTGAGCAAGGATTTGTTTTCAATGGAACTGGAGGCTTGTCCCTGTATCCCTGTGGTGGCGGGATTGGGGCAGCGAACGCATCAGCAAGAAGCTCCGCGGTTTCTTGAGTAGTGCGGCCTAGGGCTAGCGCTAATCCTGCAACGGGATGCTCGGGTTGCTTTTTATCTTTCAAGACTCTGACGATCCTCCATGCTCTCGAAATACCCGATGGGGAACCAAACGACTCGCATAGTTGGTTCCACTGTAGGCGTTGGAGGCGCTTAGTATATCGTCGAAATTTGGCATCGATCTTGCGATGTTCATTCCAATCATCCAGATCGTCTGTTTTTCGGGCTCGTCGCTGCGCGCGGCGTCGAGCAGCCCTTAGGTTTAGGTACATGAGGTCGGGAACAGGCCGGGTGTATGGTACTCTAATGGTCTTTGTTGACAGCTGAATGGCTCGTGCAATCATGGCTGTTGTGTCTTCTGTCGTGCTGCCAGCTAGAGCTAAGTCCATGTGAGATCGGAATACATCCCAGTTGGTAACTCGAACCTCTCTGTAAGTTTTGTTTGTCTTTTTGGCAAACTTGCTGGTAATCATGATCGGTATATGATCACTGCCCCAGGAATCGGCTAGCACATTCCAATCTGCCAATATATCCGGGGACAGGAACGCCAGGTCTAATACACTGCGGCCAACTCCAGGTCTGATGAACGTTTCCGCACCGTCATTAAGGGCCTCTAAATGAAGTGAAGATGTCATACTATCAAGATCAAATCCTCTTCTTGTATTTTTGCGGTCACCCCATATCTTGTTGTGGGCGTTGAAATCTCCACAGAGTATAAGATGGCCTCTGCTTCTCTGCTTTACATCGGAAAGCTCTCCGACATCCCATTTGCAATTTGGAGGGACATACACTGAGACGACTGTGAAGTCCACGTTTTTGTATCTAACAGATACAGCAGCATATTCAGCACTACTCTTCGAAACTGAAGATAGGTCTACTGGCGATTGAGGAAGGCCGGCGCGAACAAAGACTACAGATCGTGGCTTGCAGTCCTTCCTTTTTGTGGAACTGTAATAGGCTACGTAGGGCGACAGGCGGCAGTTGGATGGATCGTTGTTAGGTTCCTGAATCGCCAGTATATCAATCCTAGTGGAGAGTAGATACCTCTGAAGATCTGGAAGGCGGGGATTTAGGCTGCAAGCGTTCCACTGTAGTATTCTTGGAATTTCGGGTTTATCGTTTGTACGTTTCTTGAAGTTGTGACTTTGAGCCGAGGCCATCCGCTCCTAGCGGTGGAAGGGTCCTGCTTTCAAAAAGGATTCCATTGCAAGCAGGGCTTGCACTTCTGGTAGGTTGTCTGAATCAGGGATCGCTTTGATGATGGCCCTTAACGCAGCAAAAAGCATTGGAATAAGGACGCTACCAAGGTCACCAGCCTGCTCTTGTCGTTTGCGCCTTGGAGCTGATGATACCGACATAGGTTGTCAGATGGTCGTCTGAGTGGTAGGGGCTGATTTCAGTAATTGCATAGTTGATGGAATTCCTCTGGCTGCTTCAGGTGCGTCTTCATGTGGTCGACGTTCTCTGTGTTTTTCTTTCACTCCATTCG